GGGAGTAGTTCACCCTCGGGGCTGAGGGTATGTACCAGTAGCTATCTGTTTCATCTCTCTCTCTCTCTCTCTCTCTCTCTCTCCCTCTCTCTCTCCCTCTCTCTCTCTCTCCCGTGTTCTTGATTTGGCATGATCTTAATGTACCGCGAGCTTTGCTACTATAGTTGGATCATATGGTGTTTCTCCCCCTCTATCTTCTTGTGATGAATTGAGTTTTACCTTTGAGGTTTCACTATTATTGGATTGAATACTATTATGGATTTGAGAACACTTGATGTATGTCTTGCGTGGGATACCCGTGGTGACAATGGGGTCTTCTATTGATTCACTTGATGTATGTTTTGGCACTCAACTCGCGGATTCCCGAGGTGACACTGGGGCAATCTATGCATAGGGGTTGGTACATGTTTTCATCTTGACTCTCCGGTAGAAACTTTAAGGCACTCTTTGAAGTTCTTTGTGTTGGTTTGAATAGATGAATCTGAGATTGTGTGATGCACATCATATAATCAAACCCGCGGATACTTGTGGTGACATTGGAGTATCTAGGTGACATTAGGGTTTGATTGATGTGTGCCATATGGTGTTATTTTACTATGAACTCTAGGGCTATTTGTGGCAATTATAGGAATAGCCCAATGGATTGATCGGAAAGAATAACTTTGAGGTGGTTTCGTACCCTACAAGAAATTTCATCTTATGTTCTCCGCGATAGGAACTTTGGAGTGACTTTTGTCGCACGTTGAGGGATTGCCATATGATCTAATTATGTTATCATTGTTGAGAGAACTTGCACTAGTGAAAGTATGAACACTAGGCCTTATTTTGAAGCATTGCAATACCATTTTTGCTCACTTTTGTTACTAGTTACCTTGCCGTTTTTATATTTTTCAGATTACAAAAACCTATATCTACCATCCATATTGCACTTGTATCACCATCTCTTCGCCAAACTAGTGCACCTATACAATTTACCATTGTATTGGGTGTGTTGGGGACACATGAGACTCTGTTATTTGGTAGGGTTGTTTGAGAGAGACCATATTCATCCTATGCCTCCCACGGATTGATAAACCTTAGGTCATCCACTTGAGGGAAATTTGCTACTGTCCTACAAAACTCTGCGTTTGGAGGCCCAACATGAGTCTGCAAGAAAAAGTTGCGTAGTAGACATCAAGCTCTTTTCTGGTGCCGTTGCCGGGGATGTGAGTGATTGAAGGTATATCTTTAGATCTTGCAATTGAATCTTTTAGTTTCTTGTTTTATCACTAGTTTAGTTTATAAAAAGAAAAGTACAAAAAAATGGAATTGAGGTTGCCTCATATGCTTCATCTTTTTAATATCTTCCGTGAAAATGATGGAAAGGAAAATTGTGCTCAAGTGCTAGAAGAAGAAGTCAATAAATTGTTTGGCACTAAATATTTGAATGATGAGCATGATTGCAATGTTGTTAGTATGAATTCTTTGAATATCCATGATGCTAATGATATGCAAAGCTACAAGCTTGGGGATGTTATGTTTGATGACTATGATAATTTTAGTCTGCCAAGTTTTGATGAGAATATTTATTATGATGAAAGCATGCCTCCTATTTATGATGATTATATTGATGAAAGTGGGTTTGGAAGAGTGTCAACTTTAGGAAGTAATGATCCCACTATTTTGGAGGGTGTTGAATCTTATTGTGATAATTATGAAAGTGGATTTTGAGAGGTCATGACTTTATTTAGTGATTAATCCACTCATTCGGAAGAGGTTCCGATTGATTATGAGAACAAAGTTGCTATCTATGATGATTATTGTGATGACATGTACGCTATAAATAATAATGATAACCATGAAACATGTCATCTTGATTTTAATTTTCAATTGGATTATGCCTCACATGATAGTTATTTTGTTGAGTTTGCTCCCACTACTATTCATGAGAAGAGTTTTGCATATATCGAGAGTAATAAAAATTCTATGCTTATGCATCATGAAAAGAGTGCTTGATGTGATAGTTATATTGTTGAATTCATTCATGGTGCTACTGAAAATTACTATGAGGGAGGAACATATGCTTGTAGGAATTGCAATAATATCAAGTTTTCTCTCTATGTGTTGAAAATCTTGAAGTTTTGCTTGTTTTATTCTTGTTCTCATAAGTTGTTTTCTCACAAAATCCCTAGGCATAGGAAGTGGGTTAGACTTAAATGTGTTAGTCATATGCTTCATGATTCTCCCATTATGTTTCAGTTCTTATCTTTTATGGGGGCATCATTGACGTCATCTTGCCTAGCTAAAAAGGCATTAAAGAAAAGCATTTGTTGGGAGACAACCCAATATTTACCCCTACTATTTTTGTGTGTTCACATGATTATGCTACCGCAGTAATCATGTTTATAGCTTTTGTTTCAATAAAGTGCCAAGTAAAGCCTTTGGGATAGTGTGGATGAAAGTTGACTTGATTCTGTGCAAAAATAGAAACTTTTGTGCTCAGTCTAGGAAATTTGAAAATTCACTGCAACGTGATTTTGATCTGAATTTTTTACACAAGATTGATATACAAATTGCCTCGATTTTCCTAATTTTTCAGAAATTTTGGAGTTATAGAGGTATGGAAAGTTTCCACATTACTACAGACTGTTCTGTTTTTGACAGA